TCAACAAGTTTGAGAAAAAAAAAAAAAGAACACTATTCTGAAAGACATAGTCTCTGGTAGCGTAGTGCCTAGGGCACTTGACTGCTAACCAGAAGGCTGGTGGTTCAAACCCACCAGCCACTCCTGGGAAGGAAGATGGGGCAATCTACTTTCGTAGTGATTGTTGTTGTTGTTGTTATGTGCCGTCGAGTGATACTGCCTCGGAAACCCAAGGAGGGGTCGCTATGAGTCGGCTCCGACTCCTCGACGGCACACAACAACAATAACGTTCTGAAAGACAGATGTGGCTGGTTTATCCATGAAATGTGAGTGAGAATGTTTTCTTGTTTTGGTTTTTTTTGGGGGGGCCAGGGAAGGAGGATTTTTTCTTTTTCTTTTTTCTAACCAGAAGCTTCTCCTCTAGGCTCTCAGACATCTGAGAAGGGAACAGACAGGACCCACACTTGGCCACCTGACACAGACAGGTAGTGCACCCCACCACACATACTCACCTGCCCCCTCTTCTCTCTTAGCCCCACCCACTGGACTGGACATTTCACTGCAGAGACACTGGAAGGGGAAAACTAGGGACAGAGATGCAAATCATTCTAATGGAGCCCAACCAGCATCAACCAACCCATGGGAAAAGCAAACATGCCCTCCTCTCCCCACCCAACTCCCATTTCAACTTTCCTCTCCTCTCTCCTAACTATCCCACGGTCAGAACCACCCGACAGTCAGAACCCTTGGGACTAGCAGCAAAGCAAATTCCACTGGGTTCCAGGGCGAAGGTTGGTAGCAATCTTTGGCTGTAGATGTTGATCCAGAAGGACACATGTAGAGCTTGTCATACATGCCAGGGGACATATCTATCTTTCTGCAGTTCCCTTTACCAATGCCACCAAATCAGGGCCCCTACAGCAACATGGCTGCTTTGAAGGGGAGACCACCTAAAATCACTGGGATGCTTCTCTCAGTTTTTTCTTCTCATGTTGTTTTTGCTTCTGAGCAATGGAAATATTGACACTGAGAGTTTTCCTCTTTGCTTGACTCTTGGGAGCCTCAGAACCACAGGTGCAGCCCACATGTACATGTAGAGCCTTTATTACATGATTAGTCCTGTTATTATCACTATTATCATCATATTACTCTTTTCCTAAACTGTGTTGCAAAGTTTGTGCTTGACTACTAATGTAAAGTTTGGCAGTTTGAACTCACCCAACAGCACCATGCAGGAAAGGCCTGGCAATCTGCTTCCATAAAGAATACAGCCAAGAAAACTCCATGGAGCAGTTCTACTGGGCAACAGGTGGGGTCGCCATGGGTCATAATTGATTCAAGGGCAACAGGTTTGGTTTGGGGGGTTTTATTATTTTCCTATCCCTTTTTCCTCCTTCATTCCAGTTTCCTCAAATCTATTTTCTTGTCATGGCTCCTGAAATTTTGTGCCTCTCCCACAAATTATTTTTGGAGCAAGATGAGCTCTAAATCCATAAAGACAGTGGTTGGCTTGAGAGAAGGTACATGGGGGAAATGTGTTTCAAGGGAGAGAGGTGTAAAGGAACATCCGGGTTTCAAGAGAGTGTCAAAGAGAGTGAATGCTGATGGAGGGAGTGACCAAAAGTCCTGCCATGGGCCAGGAGGTGTGCTGCTAAAGCCAGTGTGATTTGCCCACCTCCATGTCATTCCTTCATCTAAAATCAGCACTTAATGAGGTGCCAGTCCTCCCAGGGGTTTCCATGATAAAGCTGCTGGCAGCAAGAGAGTATGCATTTGCCTCTTCTTCTGTCTCCATTTGAGCCTCCTCCACCCATGGGCTTCCCCGAATAAGATGACCTTGTTAGCAGCAGGCTCTTTGAACTTCCCATATCCACTGTTCAGGAGATAAGCAGAGTAAGGGGCCCTGGTCTAGAGCTGTTGCATCTCTTGTAAATTCTGTTCCTCCAGTAGAGGAAAGGGGAGCTGGGCATCCAGTCCACTCTCCCAGTCAGAATCTCTTCAGTAGCTTGAGTGTTTCTTTTTCATTCTCTCCTCCCGACTTGCTGAGAGCCTCTTGACTGCTTGTTTACAGAGTGACTGCAAACACATTTTTGATGGCTTGGCCTGCTACTGGCACTTATGCAAATTAATGCTCAGTGGGCACAGGGTGTGTTTTCTGGCTAAGCCACCCCAACTCTGACTCTAGGCCTGGCTGATGACCAAAGCCACAGCCTGCACCTCTGTACTCACAGGCCTCTCACACCTAGAGCTCCTGGCAACACGCTCAGGGAGGCAGGGGGTCCGGAACTGGCAGCAACAGCATCATCAACTCCGCTGTTGATCTGCCCCCAGAAGAGGATGCAGAGTAGGACACAGAGGAGCCCTGCTTTTGCATGGGCCACCCACCCTTTCCCCAGAATTAGCAAAGGAGCAAAACGAACTAAGACCTGATGTTCCTAAAATCTGTTTATTCCCTGCCCATTGATGCTGGGCAGGAGTCAGTCTCTACTGATGGTCTCAACCCTGGGAAGATCCTTGGGGGCCACATGTGCACAAAGGCCACCCACTTTCAATTTTGCTGGGCTTCCTTTTTAATTTATTTTCTGTGTTTTGTTTTATGTGAATTGCCTGGTGTACTTTTTAAACATGGAAAAGAACCAAACATCATTCGGTGAGTGTTAACCTGTGTGTTGACTATATACTCTCATTCTTTAGAGAGGAAAAAATGTGAGAAATGGGTGGGGACTGGACACCACGAAGCCCCAGGAGGAGGGGACCAAACCAAAAAAACCAAACTCACTGCCATCTAGTCGATTCTGAGCCATAGTGACCCCCTTTGCATTTCCGAGGCGGTAAATCTTTACAGAAGGAACTCTGGTGCCATAGCGCCTAAGGCACTTGACTAATAACCAGAAGGCTGGTGGTTCAAACCCACCAGCCACTCCTCAGAAGGAAAGTTGGGCAATCTACATCCATAGTGATACCACCTCGGAAGCCCAAGGAGGGGTTGCTATGAGTCGGGTCTGACTTGATGGCAGTGACTTAGAAATCTTTACAGAAGTAGATTGTCCCATCTCCCTTCCATGGAGAGGCTGGTGGGTTTGAACCACCAATCTTCTGGTTAGCAGTCAAATGCCTTAGGCACTGCACTACCAGAACTCCTTGGAAGAGGGGACACAGAGAGAAAATCACCAGAGACTCACAGACAGGAGAGGTAACAAGGGAACAGGAAGGCAGAGAGGAGTCAGACCATCTGTGGAACAAACTGAATGCTTGAAACATGCTCATTCTAAAAGTAAGAAACTAAGGGTCAAACGGGAGAAGGGGCTCCCTCACCTAAAGCCCCACAGCTAGTGAGTCTGGAGCTAGGACTAGATCCCAGGTCTTCCCGGTGGCTGCCCTAAGAGAGTATCCATCTCCTTTCCTCAACAGGTAGTGTTTGAGCTCCTCAAGACGTGGGTCTGGCCTCTGCAGAGCCTGCCCCGGGAGCAGGTGTGGCCTGAGGCCTCATTTAGAAACATTCACACCACTGACTTTTGCTCAACCCTGCTCCCTAGTAAAGTGCCCTTAAGAAAGGTCAGGAGACCCAGGCTCTAGTCACTGCTCTGCCTCAGACTCACTGCGAGAGCTGTGCCAAGTGCTTTTCCCTCTCTGGGCACTGGAACTCCCAAGCCCACCTCCCAATGCAGCTTGGAGCTACATGATAAAGCCAGCCTGACTTTGCTGCCTGCGTCCTCACAGCAATCCTCACCCATCACTACCCTGGGCTTGGCATACCACAGGCACTCAATAAATGCTGAATGGCAAGTGCTCTGGCCGCAAAAGCAAACACTGGGCTAGTTTGGAAAGCTGCTAAAAAGCCACAAGTCTATCGTTTCAGAAAGGGAAAAAAGCAGCTTTGTACTGGGATTTTGGTTTCAGCTTCCACAGGGTGGTTGTATATTTGACACTGTTGGAAGTGGCAGTGGTCATACCCAGAAAAAGATATTTGTGCTGTCTCAAGGGAAGAAAGGGTGAAATCACACCCCTTGGTCTTTCCTTATAAGCACTTCAGATCCCCATCACTCTAGTACCATAGCCAACACCAAGCACCACTCTTCACCTTTCCTGGAACTGGGGGGAGGGAGGCGAAAGTTGCCTGAAGCTCCTTGGGCAGCCACCCAGTGCCAGCCTCAAGCCCAGGGCTGCTCTCAGTTCTCCTAAGTTCCCCCCAACACACACACCAAATCCCCAATCCTACTGTCTCCACTAGGCCTCCCAACACTAGCCAAGCTCAGGCAACTGACCCATCTTCAGCCTATGAGCCAAGAAGGGGTAGGCAGCCTACCACCTAGGCTTTTCAGATGCCTTCCCTCCACAGTCCTCCAACTTAAGGGTGTGCCACCTTCACACCCTGTTCCCCAAAACCCTCCCAGAAATCATCTATCCTCCCAGGCCCAACTGGCATGTCCTGGTCCCCACTGCCTTCCCTTTCCCCTTTCCAAGCAGAAGCTGACAAAGGCAGTCTTGACTGGCCCCTGCCAGCAGCCCTTTGTACTCACTTTGCTGGGCTCACCGCCTCCACTGGATCAGAGGTTCAGGAATTGTCTTTACCTCCTCACAGCGTCGCGCTAGGCATCTTCTAGGCATTTCGTTGGACGAATCACCCAAACCAAACCCCTTGAGTTTAGGCAGAGACTCCCTAACTTGGAAGCCTTTTAAAGCGGAAGGAGTTTGAGTTTTAGCTGGGTTCAAAACTTACCTCCACCATTCCCTAACCGTGTGGGAAAGACAAGTCGCTTGAACCTCAGTTTGCTCTCTAGTAAGAGCTGGTACTTTTGAAAAATCATTATTGCCACTTTACAGAAGAGAAACTAGAGGCTCAGGGAGGTTACGTCCAAAGTCACTTTGCCAGGGGATAATAGAGCAGGGACACTCAAACTCACTTCTGCCGAAAACCCGCTTATTCTCACGAGGTGCCTACGACCCTGGATGTGCAGCAGCAGGGAGACCAGCGCCCAGCCCCGCTGCGCTCCCTCCTCCCGGTTCCCGTCCCGCGCTACCTTCCTTGGGTGCGTCAGCATCCCAGACGCTCCACATCTGCACGAAGAAGAATGGCGTCCAGCACACGATGAAAGCCAGTACGATGATGAAGGTCATCTTGACCGTGCGGATCTTGGCCTTGGAGATGAGTTTGACGCTGCTAACACGCGCCAGGACCGGGAGTCCCCGGTTGACCGTGGCTGAGCTCTCGGCCCCCTCGGCTGCCGCTGCCGCCGCTGCGGTCTTGAGCCGCAGATTCTGCCAGATCTTGAAACTGATGAGGCCGTAACATGCGGCAAGCACGATGACCGGCACGATGTAGACAGCGAGCGTGATCCACGTGACGTAGGCTTTGGGCCCCCAGGGCTGGATGAAGACCGCCCAGCAGTCGAAGACACCGTCCGCCACCTCGCGCAGGGAGAAGATGTGCACCTGAGGCGCGCTGGCCACCAGGCAGCCGAGCCAAGTGGCCAGCACGGCTAGGCGGTCGGCGCGGCGGCGCAGGGCGCGCAGGGGCTGACAGATGGCAAGGCAGCGGTCGAGAGACATGAGCAGCAGCAGGTAGGTGGAAGCGAACATGCCCACCACCTGCAGGTACTTAACCAGGCGGCACAGCAGATCCGGCCCATAGAAGCGGAAGGTGATGTCCCACAACAGCTGCGGCAGCACCTGGAAAACCGCCACCACCAGGTCGGCGATGCTCAGGTGCTTCATGAAGAAGAAGAGGCGCGAGTGCTTGTGGCGCGTGGTACGCAGTGCCAGCAACACGCACGCGTTGCCGCTCAGTGCCAGGAAGAGAATGAGGCACAGCACCGCCACCTCCACGCGCGCCAGAGCTTCGTTGCGCCGCGGAGGTCCAGCGGTGAGGTTGCCCTGGGCCTCCAGCGGCGTTACGCTCGTGTTGACCGCCTCAATGCTCCAGTTGGCGTCAAGGGCGTCCTCCATGATCTTGGCGCCGTGCGCCCCTGGGCTTCGCACCCTTTAAGGCGTGGCGCAGCGGGGCGGGGCCAGACACCCAGTCTGGAGTGGCTGAGGGGCTCCTGGGCTTCACTTCCCTGGACCCGCGTACCGATCTGCTGGGTCTGACCCTGAAACAAACCAGGAGGGCATGACAAGACGTCCCTGTTTCTCTCCCCGCGCGCGTGCAGGGGAGTCCCTGTTCCTAGCAAGCCCAAACCTTCTGGCCCTCAGGACACAACTGCTGGCCCTGAGGTAGCTCTTCTGCCACCCCGAGAATGCCTGTTTGGGGTACCTTCTCTGAGCCACTGAATGAGTGGAAACTCTTTTCTGGACCTCCTGTTCATTGAGATGCTCAACCGCTTCCATTAGGGTAGAAGGGACGGTTGCAATTAGCCACCTTCCTGCGATACTGGGACTGCCAGCCCAGCCACCTCTCCCAAGGATTCCCGAAGTAGCTGTCTCCCCCAGGAGTCTTCAGCCCAGCCACTCCCACAGCAATCCCAAACCAGTTACCTCTCCTAATACCCAGTTACTTCCTCCGGAGATTCCCAAACAGCCACTTGCCTCGGAATCCCTAGCCCACGACCCACACTCCCCACACCCCCTTCACCCCCGTCCTCCACAACCTCTGTTTCTAAGACTCTCAGCCAGCCATCCCCTGAACTTCTTTAATAGCTGCCCCAGGGGACCCCCCTCCAGCTGTCCCTCTTAACTCAATACCTACCCAGGACGCCGAATCTGTCTCCAGGACCCCTGATCTAGATACCTCTCGCGAGGATCTTCCCTAATCCAGCAGCATCGAAGATTCAGGAACCCGACGAGCGTCTTGGCCCCCGACAGTCAAGGGCTGGGGCCTCAGTCCTGAGCAGACACTTTAAAATCTCTCCAAGCACCCCATGCGCCTCCAGAAACCAGGACCACCACCTACAACAACTCGAATCCCGACGGCCCCAGCCCTAGATACACTCTCAACTCGCGCGCGGCACCTGGCTACCTGCACTGAGTCGCAGGCTGGCCCATAAAGTTCAACCCCTGGGGAAGTTGCACCGCCGCTGACGCAAAGATGCGTGTGCCTGGTTCAGGTACAGGTGGCTGTCGGTGGCTCACAGTCTGACGCTATGTTGTAGTCTCGAACCCTGGAGCCTCAACTGGAATCCTCTCGCCTACAACCTGGCTGGGCGCTGGATGGGTCCAGAAGGCAAGAAGAGCAGCAAAGGCTGTCCGCGCGCGGACTGCGTCGGGATGTGCGCTGTCTGCTGGTGGCTGGCTTTTCTGCAGCCGGAAACGGGAGCTGCGCCACCACACGGGTCCGCTAGGGGGCGCGGGAAGCCAACCTCGGCGGAGCGTGATTAACGCGCCCAGCGTTCGCCCCAGAGCATTAACAAACGTGCTTAGTTCAGAGTGGTTCAAAACTGCTAAGAGAAGGAGCTCATAAATAATGCGTCTGGTTTCTTCCTTTCTTGGTGTAACAGCTCCTGACTCTCAGGCGAAAGGAGGTTTGAATAGTGATGTTTCCCTCTGAGTGGATGGTGATGATATTACAAAAGCATTTAACTGGTATTTCCCAAACATAAGGATGTAGTGGATTTAGCAATTCAAATAAGAACTTGGTTTGGAATATTTTTGTTTGTATTCCCGCTAATGAGTGATTAGAAATGCCTTCCATTCTAATCACCACTGATTAGAGAATCTTCATTCTTTACAATTTTAGGGGGAAGATAAGAAAAAAAAAAAAAAAAGCCTCTCTTAACTTTAAAATGATTTTGCTCATCTGTGCCCTGAAGCCTTTTGCACATCCTTACCACCAATCAAAATTAAAATCTGAAATGATGCCTGGGGAAGATGAAATGTTAAGGACAGCTTCTCTACTCCCTTGCTCCTGTTCTAGTCCAGAAAAGTGTCTGGGTCAATCTACAGTGTTGTTGTTGTTACTTGCCGTCAAGTTGAACCCGACTCGTAGCGACCTCTCCTTGGGTTTCCGAGGCAGTGTCACTACAGAAGTAGATTGCCCAACTTTCCTTCCCAGGAGTGGCTGGTGGGTATGAACCACCAGCCTTCTAGTTAGCAGCCCAATGCCTTAGGCACTACACCACCAGCCAAGAATTAAGGGAGGGGGAGGGGCTAGGATTAAAAAATTAGCAGGTCTCTTTAAAATGTATTAAATGCATATTTCCTCCCGACATTTCACTTCTCCCTCTTTAATTACCCAGAGAGAATTGAATTAGCCTACGACCGGGTTTCCTGAATCCACAATTACAGTCCAGTGTGAAGGCATCTGTAGGCCAGACCCTTATAGGGCTCTAATTCCAGAGTTCAGTTTGATTGAGCATCCTTCCAAGAGGACCCGGGAAGTTCAGGTGCCAGATGCAAAATTTGTCTTTTTCTTGCCCTCAAGAGTTGGGTCATAATATTAATTAATGTTATGTGTCACATACATTGCAGATTTAAATGACCAGAACCCTCAGTTCCTTCTCCTACCTGGGCCTCGGTTTCCCCATATGTAAAATGGGTAGACTGATTGAGATAGCTAATGGCTGAGGTTCCATTCTTCTAGTTTTCTGAAGTTTTGTGATCTGTGCCATGTGAGAGCTGAATTCTGGAGATAAAACACTTCTTTCGCATTCCACAGCCAGGATATTTCCTAAACACCCTGGATTTGTAAATTTTGGGAGGAAAAACTGGGCCTATAGAGCCCAGCCTTCCCTTTCCTCCTGGAAGAGAGCTGCCTTCCTGGGCATCTCCCTCAGAGACAGGCTGTTCTCCCCATGTGGGGAGGCCTGCCCAGTCCTAGGAGGTCTTTGCATGGTGGGTGAAGCTCCCTAATTCTGGATTCACTTAGCAGGACCATCTGGCCTCAAGCAAAAGCTACATCCTCTAGCCTTCACCTAAAAAAAAAAAAAAAAGTGATAGCTGGATCCTCATTCCATCTCTTTTGTTCTATTTCTGAACAGAAGCCAGGCAGGGAAGAGAAGAGCTATTCACTGAAGGCTCCTCTTAAAGACCCTTAGCAATGACTAAAACAAGCTTCCACCTCCTAGAGCTCTAGCAGGAGAGAAAATGCACTTAAGTGTTTGCATGTGATGATGGGAAAAGCACACACAACCTAATTCTGATTCATCACAATCCAATAGGACAGAGTAGAACTGCCCCATAGAGTTTCCAAGGCTGTAAACTTCATGGAAGCAGACTACCCCATCGTTGCCCTTTGTGGTTTATCATAGTCCATTATAAATTTATTCCATCATGGCTTAATGGATTACCCAAGAACAGCCCTTAGCAAGTTAATCACCAGGGTCAGACCCTTACTGCCTGAAACAATATTTCTATAGAAATCGTACTGAAGGAGGGCTCTTTGTGAAAAAGTATGTTATTCATATGTGTGTGCCATTCCTCCCTGGAGGAAGCGATGACCGAGATAAGGTGCAAGATTTCTAATTCCACGGGCATGTTGTCAATTGACAATGGGTGTGACAACACAACCCAACTAAAGAACTGGCTTAACTAAATGCATTCTCCATCTTAGACACTGTTGACCCAGGTTAAACACAACAGGACATAACTAGAGATAAAAAGCATTCCTCAGGAATAACAGAACTTGGAATAAAAGCAGGCTGTTCTGCAGAATAAAAGGTTTATTGAAAATCAAGATCTTTGGAATTTTAAATTTCTTTTGGAGAAGCAGGGCCTAAAGGATTTGAGTGTAATTAAAAGGGGTGTTATCTTCCCAATGAGCAGATCAATGGGGTTTATGTTTTTAAAGATTAAACTCGAACATACAAATGGTCATGAAGATGCCACAATCTGGACAACGTCTGTTCTATTATATATAAGGTCATCATGAATCAAAGCCAACTTGACAGCAACTTAACAACACTGAAAATACCCGGACTTCCACAAGAAACAAATCTGTCCTGGAAGAAGTATAGCCAGAGTGCTCCTTGGAAGCAAGAATGGCCAGACTTCGTCTCACCTACTTTGGTCGTGTTGTCAGAAGGGACCATTCCCTGGAAAAGGATGTCATGCTTGGTAAAGTGGAGGATGAGCAGTAAAAGGGAAAGCCCTCCATGAGATGGACTCACCCAGTGGCTGCAATGATGGGCTCAGGTATAGCAAGGATTATGAGGCTGGCACATGACCAGGCAGTGTTTCATTCTGTTGTACACAGGGTCACTATGAGTTAGAACTGAGGCAACAGCACCCAGCAATAACAACAATGATGGCACTGAATTGTACACATGAAGGATGTTGATATGGTGAATTATATATATATGTGTGTGTGTGTGTGTGTGTGTGTGTGTGTGTATACAGTAAAACTTCTAAAAGCTGGAACTTGTGTCAGGTGGAAACCTGTCAGAGAAGGAAATCTCAAATATTTTCCACTAATAGAGATAGAAAAGGGTGAGACTCCATCCTGTCCAAGGCAAAAAACTTGCAAGACCAAAAAAACCAAGCAGTCCTGTTGAATTCTGTCTCTTAAAAGTTTCATTGCGTATGTACTATATGTTCACAACTTTTTTCTAATGAAAAAAAAGAAGAACCTATAAATCCCCCTAAATCCCTAAATATAACACTTAATTTTAAAATAAAAACAAATATGTGTTTTAAAAAAAAAAAAGGAAGAAGAAGAAGACATGAAGCCACAATGAAGCTCAAGTCCTATTGACTCATTTGCCACCTATATCATGCAAGGCCTAAGCAGCACTGAGAATATTCTGGAGAGAAAAGCTGAAGAGCTTTTTAGTGAAGTTGAGGGGAAAGGGAGGAGTGAAGTGAAGAAAGAGAATAAAAGAGATGACTTGAGATAGCCTCTGGAATGATTTGAGAGGTTGTTCTGGGTTTATGCAAGAACACTTCAAGAAAACAAAACTCTCTTCTCACATTAGCTCCCTCTGCCCAGTTCTATCAGCCCATCTCAGGAGGATGAAGAAACCTCAGGGAAATTCCAGGGACCTGAAAGCTCCAAGCACAAATGTTGCCTCAAGCCGCAGGCAGCCCCATCTCTCCTCTTCCACCAATTCCAACAGCCCACTCACTTTTCATTTTCATTAAAAAAGAAAGAAAATGAAAAGGCATGTCTTCCCAAGATGGGCATCCAACAGAAGTCAGTCTATCTTTCTTCCTGGGATAT